CAGTAGCAGAATTAGATTGTGAAACAAGACTTCCCTAGAAAAAATTTCACATTGGCCCTAGTTGGGCTCAAAATTAGCTAATTTAGGTCCTATAAGAACATTCATTGAGGGATGTCTAGAATTTTTTAACATTGGTCCTAAATTAGCTTTCAATATTGGAACAAGATTCATTCCTATCTAAAACAATTTTTATAAAATATAGACTCCGCGAAATTTACCCAAAATTATGAGCCTATAAGGGATCTAGATAGAAATGAATCATGGTCCATTATTGAAAGCCTTTTATCTAGACACGAGGAACAAAATTAAAAAAAATTTAGACACTTTAATAGTTGCCATAGAAATAAATATTTGGCCAGAATATAAAGCCGTTCTAGGACCTATTATTACAAAACTTAAGCACCTCAATTGAAAGAAAATTTTTGTTCAGGATTATTTATTTTGCTTAGGAATATTTATTATGAAATAAGAAAATCACTGCTAAATACTTTGTCTTAAAACTCTTAGCTGATTCAAATTCATAGAAACTAATTAATTAGTAGAACAATTAAACACACATATTTTAAAAAGGAACACACATATTTTTTTATTGAAAGCTCCAAATGATAAGGGTTTTTTCACACATGTAATTTTGTATTATAAAACACAACTTCATAACAAATGGTAATTCCCTAAAATAACGTTCCGACAAAATGTGATGGTATTAGCAAATAAGACATAATTTATTAGGGTGTAGTCAAATATGATGTCGATGTTATTTTTAATAAATCTTTTAGCCCCACAATTTGTGTTGACAAATAATTTAAACCTGTCATCACTGCAGACACTGAATATTTTCACCCATTCGAATACAAACTTTCCACCAAGTAAATAAAAAGCATTGGACCTCAAATTTCCACGAAGCATAAACGTTTAAGTTTGAAATATGTCAACGTAACCCGCCTGCAAATCTCATTTAAAATTGTATAAAAAATACTGTGAAACAATGCTAAAAAGCAGACGGGGTTTTTAGATTCAGAAAAGAAGAATGTTTAGCAGACATGCAAGCATTTTTAATACTCATCAACTCAATCAACAATGATGATAACGCTCTCAAAACCGCTGCCCTCATTCAAAAAATTTATGATTTATCATTATTCATTACGCACACTCTTCACAATGTCTATATTCTATATTTAGCACCCAGTGACTATATATATATTTCTTCATATAGATAACATTTAGTCGGAAAGTGATTCAGTCTTTTAATAATATGAAATATGAGCCACAGAGCTGGGGAGGCATGGGTATATAATAATTGCCATACCGTCCACACTGCTTAATTTGACTATTTTGGAAATCAAATAAAATACAATTAGAAACTCCAATTAATGAAAAATAAACGAGTTTCGTATTTCTGTTAAATAAAAAATCCTTATTGAATAAGCATCTTGTTCACCCTTTTTCTACCCTATTGTAGTTTGAAGATTCTCTAATAAGCACAGTTCGATAGTTTATTTTTTTTCCTTCTGAATTCTGGAGCAGTAATAAAGCATCCGAACATTGCAGCTAGTTATTTTTATGGCTACGGTCAGATTATTTCGCTAGATAGAAAAAAAGGAAGAAAAAAGAGCAACTTTACTTATCTTAGAGAGTGTCGAAGCATATTCTTGTTTAAATGTAGTGTTTCTTAACTTGTTAAGTAATTTTATTATCACATTTCTGAAACTAAGCACCATCATAATTGGTTACTTGATAAAATATAATACCTTATCAAGTATTTGATAATTTGCTTCACATTATACTTCAGCGTTGAACATCTTTTATTCTAATAGCGTAACAATAGTACAATTATCTAAACTTTGAAACCGAAACTTTAATTTAGATGCTATAAAACCGCTATTTTAATTAGGTTAATTACTTAATAGAAATTATTTAAAAAGACATGCATTTCTAACTATTTATAAGACTCTCATAATGGAGTCGCAGTTCTTCATTGTTGTCTATATATGTTGTCTGACTGGAAAATCACTTTATAGAATTCGGTTTGACCCCATTGATTTTTCATATAATGCTAGCTGAATACCCTTTCTTCGCACGAGGTGAGTAAAAAGAAGAAAATAATCAATAAATCAGTACTGAGCAATCCTGCTCAAAACTGAAAGGCATATACCGACACAATTAAAGATGGAAGAACAAGGTGAATGACATTTTTAAGGGATTTAATGAATTAGAGAAAATAACATAAAATGGTTGCATCAATATGGCCATGTTTAATGTAACAGATCTGTTTTTGCTTACACTTTTGTCTTAACTTATCCATATTAGTTTTTAGTAAGCTTGCATGATTTTTATTTCAAATTAAGCAGTGGTAAGTCAAATAAAAAAAAGATTTATTAGTCCCATCTTCTAATAAATTGGCAATAAAATAATTCGGATACAACTTCTTTTTGCGTTCAGAAAATATTACTTACCTAGTTCTTCCACTAAGTTTTCCAATTAATATAGCTAAACTAATTGAATCTTTTTTTCAATATTATTTGTTGTAATCGATAAAATTCATTTAGCATCACTTGGCATGATGCTATTGCTTCCGGCCACTTCGTGATTGTTAACATTTACCACTAGTATGAGAATTTCTCAGGTACATATCCCTTTCGAGGAAACGTAAAACACTTGATATCAAAGTAACGGTATTAAAACTGCTTATTATTAGTGCACTTTAAATACTAATCACCAGATATATCAATATAATATTTTATACCTCTATTAGTATATTTGGTACTTATTACATAACCCTTCAACATTTGAGCTCATACATATTTGTCAGTGGCAGCAAATTAAAGCCCAATTGTTTAAAAAAAGATATATTAGAACTACATAAGGATTTTGGATCATGACCATTTCTCTATCTGACCTTTAATTTACTGCTGTTAAAATATTTATAAGTAGTGGTGGAAAAAATGTCTTTAAATTCAAATTCGTTAAAATATTAATACACTATCATAGGTACCACGGGGAAAAAAGTTTTCTCAAAACTACGGAAAACCAGCTGCAGAATTCTTATTATAACCAATTCGCCAATTACCGTAATACCAGCGGTACATATTACCGTGAGTGATAAATATGAATTGAGGGTCATCTGTGAATGACGATTTTTTACGGTTTTCTTAAACGTATTTCTCATAAATTTTTCCTCCATGAGCTTGGCTTTTAAGCAGAAGCTTATTTTATTTTATTTCAATTAATACACATTATCAATATTAATTCAGCATTAGTATCAATAATAATATGCAGATTTTTACGAAGCAATTAAGTTTCTTTTCTACTTATTTTTGCTCTTAAGTTCAGAAGTTGCTTTTTTATTTCAAGTAATACATATTAGCAACATTAACTAAGTATCATTGTCGTCAATGATAGTATGACGATTTCTTACGGTTCTTCTAGACAAATAAATACCTTTACTCCATTTCCTTTGCTTTCTAGTACATAGCTTATTTCTTATATTTCAATATGCATATATTACCTTAATTTATTAAGCATCATGGCGTAAGTAAGTCTTATTGGCACTGTTTTATGTTTCTCCTAAACGAATTAGTGCAACTTTCCCATTAATTTTGCTTTTGAATGTATTAATATTTTTCTTTCCATTCCATTACTATTAATTTTGAATATGTAATTTTTTAGTAGTGCATTGTTTGTTGTTGTGTTATTGTTGTCGTGTCTATGCTAGTGCAAAGATTAGAGTCATCCAAAAGTCTTGATTACAAGGATTGCAAGTTCTGAAGCCCGATGGCCATGGAGAATTTCGATGGGAGGTGCTCCAATTTGAAAGAGGGAGCCGATAATGGCCTGGCTGTCAAAAACATGGTCTGAAGTTAGTTGCAAATGAGGACAGTACTTGCAGATGGGATAGAATTTTATATGGGTGCGTGAGATCTTCATGCCCTTGAAATGTCCAGTACGTAGCCTAGCTATTGTAGAGGAGAGGTTTCTTGGGCAGTTTAGATCGGGGATTGTTGCCTTGCTAAAATGCTGGTTGTATATCCTTCGTCTGGCGACAGCTTTCGCATCTGCACAGGTGACAGCTCGAGGTTGATCTTCGTCCCGTGCTTCCTTTGCAAGGGCATCTGCGCATTCGTTCCCCTCGATTCCAACACGAGCTGGGATCCACTGGAGAGTGCAACGGATATTTAATAAATGAAAAAGGGTATTAATTTCTTCCGTTACTGATGTATTACCGTTATGTATGGTTTCGAGTGCTGATTTTGAGTCTGAGAAAATCACAATTTCTTTTATTGAGTCTTTTAGAGAATGGGAGCGACAGTAAGCAAGAGCCTCTTTAATAACGATTAATTCGCTGGTGAAGTTCGAAGCCATTTGGCCAGTGGACATTTTGAGTTTGACGTCATTTCTTGAGGGGTAAGTGATGGTAGTGCGTTTAAAAAAAATAATATAAATAAAACAAAAGCGCATGGTATAAATTTGGGGACTTAGACAACGCTTGCTACCACCTAATGCTCATTGAATTTATCTGACATGGCTAATTAAAAATAATTAAATAGTTAAATGACTGCAGTAAACTTTTTTTGATCAAACAGAACTAGCAATTATCACAGATGCTATCTTTAAAGTATGTAAAAAAAATTTATTAATTATATTTAATATAACGGCTAACGCTTGACCAATCAAAAAATTTCATTTCTTTTTTCACTCTTCACGCTCAAACGGTTTGTTGTAGACCGTTTTAATGTCGACAATGACCTTTCCTCGATCTTTGAACTATCTGTATACCAAGTTTCATAGCTTTCACTCGGATGGTTTAGGAGTCAATAAGGGACACGCATACACATTCATTTTTGTATACATAGATTGGATGTCATTAGCATAATAGTAACAATAACCATAAAGACATTGTAATCCTGCAAAATATATGTGTATCCCAAATTAATAGGTAACTACCTGTATAATTTATTTTTCTTATTCTACTCTGCTATTATTAAGTTTTTAATATTGACTGCTTTCGAAATAAAGAATTCAAAACTAAACTTCTTTGTTATTATTACATAATTCTATGATATTACATGAATAAGCTGCATTATAAGAGAAACTTATTTGAATCGGTTACTAAACTTATTAGCCATTTTACAACTATTATTTTTACATTAATATAATATTATAAATTAATGTTAAAAAGATTCTTTAAATTAGGGGTGCACAACCTGCGGCCCGCCAACACTCAATGTGTGGCCCGTGGCCGCAATCTGAATTAAATGAAGAAAAAAAAATTCAATTTCTTTTTTTTTCTTAAAAAAAAAAATTCTGAAATTTGAAATTTACGCATCTAAGTTTTTGACGCACCCAATTTCAATCAAAGTAGTTTTCGATCACTTTTATTTCGATTTTTAACTCTACGGATTTAGGCACAGTTTTGAAAATCCCAATATTTTTAATACATCATTATTACGATATACGAATTTTCACGCAGTTTCTGCAATCGCGATTTTTGAAAATTATGAAACGCTTTATTTGTGCAAATTTCATGAAAAATCAAAATGACTTTTGATCCTTTTTTCTTCAGTTGTTGCTACGCATTTCCGCATGGTTTTTAAAACTTTGATAATTTATCCCGATATTATTACGAATCGCGATTAAAGAACCACTCATTTAGGTAACCATTTTTTGACGTGTTTTATTTATACCGATTTTATCGCAAATCAAATTATTTTTCAATCGTTATTTTGACAATTTTGTTACACATTTCTACAAGATTTTGAAAGTCGCGATATTTTTTATACGCTATTGCGATACTTTAATTTCGAATCCCACATTTAAATACATGAAATTTTGACGCGCCTTATTTACGCTAATTTCATCATAAATATAAAGGGAGTTTCATAATTTCTTTCGTAGTTATAACTACTCTTTTCCCCATGATTTAAAAAATTTTTGATATTTTTAATACTATAATTTGACAGCACGCGAGTTCTGAATCGCACATTAAAATAATTACTTTTTACGTGCTCTACTTGTGCCGATTTTAACATAAATATAAGAGGTTTTTCGAACGTGGTTTTTTTTTCTTTCCACTTATTGCTACATTTTTACTTGTGATTTAGAATATCCTGATATTTTGGCACAATATTACAACTCGCAAAATTCTAAATTTCGCACAATATCACAACTCGATTGTGTTTTAATTTTTTTTTTTGCAACTTAAAAATTAATTACGTATCTTACCAAAATCGATCCTTTCCGAAGAGAATAAAAAAAAAAAGAATTGTGAACATTTATATTAAACGCTTTCCCTTTTGCTAAAAAATAATTAAAAACACATGCATATTTCTTTAGTTGAACAAGTGCAAGTTTAAGAGCACACACTCTACCTATTCTTTTTGTTGTCAAATGATTTAAAATAATCTTTTGTTTTCCAGAATAAATTTGGCCTGTTCAGAACTACAGAGCAGTCTTTAAACAAAATCATTACATTTTCTTTTAATGGCTCGAAAAAGCTATCACATGATCAAGTGAATAAAATTAACCCAATATTTTAAGAACTTTGCAAATTACAAGACAGCCGTTAAAATTTTTTTTAACCAATTTCTATATACTTGGATCATTTCATATCATTTATAATTATATACTAGAAAATGATTTGCATATAATTAAATTTTAACTGTAAGAAATGTAATCAAAATAAGTTTCGCTAAGTAATGTAAATGTTACTAATTGTTAATGCTTATGTGTATTAATTTGAAATAGTAAGTGTCATGTTAAAAAAATATTCGTCATGAAAACTTGTAAACCAGTATCTAAATAGTTTTTTATTATTAAGGAAAATAATTCCTTCAAAATTAATACTTTCTTTCTCTCTTTTCCTTCCCTCTCTCCCTACCTCTTATTATTAATTTAAAATAAATTTTTAAAGTTTAAGTATATTCCCTACTAAATGCTAAATCTTATGGAGTTTTGTTTCAATTTTAATCATGTTTAACCCTATAAACTTTCTTTAAATCAAAATAATTAACTTGTATTTACTTTAATAATTATTTTTTTTTAAATTTAATTCTATGAACAAATATTTTAAAGTTAAAATTTACGTTTAATTGGACTTTTGTATTATGTAATATGATTAAAAAAACATGAATTTTCCCATAGTTTTTAAATTTCAATTTATCTAAAAACTTTTTTGATAAATTGATTCTGATTTACGAATTCTGTTTCTTTTCTTAAGTAATCGGTTTAGAAGTTTCTAATTTTAAACATTTAAAAGTATTTATTTTATGCAAAGATATTATAAGGTTAACTTACAAAAAAATTTATTGCCTAGAACAATGATGTTTTTTTAACAATTACTACCTACAATTGCTGTGAATATGTCTAAATACTTTGGCATGCGGTCCTTCATTGGTCAATCTGCTGTGCATGTAGCCCTTCACTCAAAAAGGTAGTGCATCCCTACTTTAAATGATTTAAAACTTAACATAATGCTTCATGCACAAATTGTATTTGATATATCAGCCTATTATGTAAGCGAAAATATTTAATTACGATTAGGAACTCACCAAATTTGTTGTATCATTGTGCATTTAATTTTAAATTCTATTTAAAAAATGATTTAAAAAAAAATTCTTTTTCTTCATGAATAAATCTTAATAAAATAATAAGAGAAATGAAATCATACAAAATGCCTTATACCATTTACTGATAAAATTCGTCTTAAAATAAACTTTATTTAAAGAAACGAATGCTGGACGTGAGATGTTAACGTACAAGAATAAGCAAACAGAATTCTTTATGATACATATATTTTTAGGAAATAATTTAAACTTTCGTCGAAAAAATTGTTTCATGCTTGGCCTACAGCTCTTTGTTTGCCAAGATTTCATGCTGCGAAGAAACAATCATTGAGAAGCAATCATCGGGGTGGGTGAGGTCAGCGGGTATAACCTTCTAATAAAACAATAAGTGTGGTAAATACTGATAAGAAAATCAGATAATTCTATCAAATTGTATTTAATGAGCTATAGAGAAAATTAAACACATATGTTTTTATAATACCATTAGACGATGATGGTTGAGGATCTGCTGACTCAGACAGTTCGTCCGAAATCCTGAAGAAAAAAAATGATATTTATGTTAAACAGTACATTTTAAATGAGTAATTACATTTTTCTTATCAACTTAAATTAATATTTTTTTTTATTTGCCAGTTTTTACCTTTTAGTTCTTCAACTGTAAATTAGTATGATTCGAATTCGAAATAGAAAAAGCATTTAAGAATCCTCTTGAACAGATTTTATTATTTGAAATTTAAATAAACAATAATTCTTTTTTCCTTAAAATACACATGTATTTTTTTTAAAAATTTTTTATTAAGGTTTATGATTTTGTATGATGACTACAAATACATGACTAACATAAATTATTTACCTATTTATGTGAGAAAATATTTCATTTTATGCATGTGTGCGTACATAGAAAAATAATAAAAGCAATTGATGGGAACACGTAAAGGTTCACTTCAGGACGCATTTCTTTGCGACAGAGGAATGCGTCCTGATCTCAAAATAAAGAATAATTTAAATTATTCTCTATAATGCGTCTATGCCTCTAAAAAATTAAATGAATGATGTAAATTTAAATGAGTTTAAAATGAAAGGAGAAAAATAGAAGACAAACTTACCGATATGAAGTGAAATAAATTAAAAATCCGTTATATTTAGATATACTAATATAAAATTAAATAAAAATTGCTGAGATGAAAAAATATAATGAATGTTCTTTTAGCTTTATCGTATTAAATAATTATTAAAAATTATGTAAAGCAAATTACATTTCAGTGTTTCCATCTATGAAAAATACACTTTAATAATAATTATGTGAAAATTTAAGCAACAAAAACCCAAAATATAGAAGAAATTCAATAAAAACATCAAAAAATATTTAAATTGTGAAATCATTAAAAAAATCACTCAAATAAGTAATATTTGTAGAACTTTGCATACAAACGTAAACTAAGAACAATGCTTTTTATTGGCTTTCCTTCTTTCAAAGGGTGACTGTTTATATGTCAGAACCAACATACATGGGTAGAAAGTCGTTTATCTTTCATTCATACATACTTTCATGAAAGTAAAGCCTACATGTATCACAAGCATTCATCAGGGATGTCTATTTATAGGGTCAGGGCCCCATTTATTTTTACTGAAAAGACTGTTAATTACACTGGACAATTACAATTCAAATTTAAAATTATTTTATAAAAGCTACAATTCAGAAGTTTACTTAATGAACTAATTGATCCAGTGTCAAAAGTAATGCATCCAACCTAATCCATCCTGTGGCTTAAGGAACAGCTTATCATAATTAGTTCCTCCCTTAAAATTAAATCAGAGTTAATAATGTAAACTGAAAAAATAAATTAGTTGCCTAAAGGGTTTAAAATTTAATTAAAATTAAATTGAAGAAATGGTTATTAATTAAATTTGTTTTAAATTTGTCAGTCACTATTAAAAGCTCTTTGTAATTGGAATAATTCTTGTGAAAACTAAGAATCTGATTTGCAATAATATTGGGAAGAGAGATTTGAAATATTAGTTTCGTTAAAAATTAATTCACATGAATAAATTTGCTTAGCTAAAATTTCAAAATCATCAAAATTAATATTTAAAAGATCGTCAATAAATCTGAGAAAGAAGGAATTTATAGAAATATGAACTTATCATTTTGAGAATCTATATTCTTGTAGAAAAAGAAAAAAAGTTTCAACTAAAAATATCTCCCATGGGTAGACTGAAAAAGATAGTCATTAAATAGAATATAATTGTTATTGAGGTTAATATGAACTTGAAATTCCCAGTACTCTTCATCAATAATATTATTGAGATTGAAACATACTATGAATTAGAAGAAAGTCATCAAGAATTTTATTTGTAGGAAGGGAAGTATATAAGTTTTTAGAAATCAAAAAACTGTAGAGAGTCAACATTATTTAAAGTTTTTAGTGAATTTAAAACCTTCATACTATTTTTAATATTCCAATTATTTAGGTGATTATTATTTTTTAGTATGCTAGTAAAATTTATTGTATACTTATCCAAGAATATTTTCAAAGTAAATACCGATATTTTTTCATGTTACTTTTTCCGCCACTAGCAATAAACCTGAATTTCGATCTTGTCTTATGGAATTTTGGATTAATAGAAAGAAAAGGAAAACTGTAAATAATATTTAGTTTAATTTTAAGAATTTTGCAGACGACATTAATTTTATTAATAATAATATTACTGCAGGTGTTACTGTTGTTTAGTTTATTAGAAAGAAGTTGTTTGTGAAAAAGTTTTCAAATAATAGCAAAGTTATTAATAGATCTATCAATAGTGGTAATACATAAATCGTTTTTATTTTTTTTATTTCTTGTTTAAGTTCAGAGTTAAAATTTAAATTTTCATAAAAAATAAAAAAATATCTGTTTCCTATTAATTTTAAAATCTTTAATTACAAATCAACAATTACAAATAATTTTTTTTTTAGATCTGAAATTGGGTCTGTAATTTAGTTATTTTTATTAAGGTTAATTAAAAATGTTTTTTTTAAAATCTAATGTTAAATAGTCTGGTTCAGGTAAATCCTGGCATTCAGAATTATTTTATACATATATTTAGAAAGTTTCTAACTAGATTTAAAAAAAATTTGAGATATCTTGTTTTAAAATAAGTTTTTTTCTTTCTAATTTCTAAAAATTTAAATCTCTGGTATGGAAATTTAGTTTAATCCCTAAAGTCTTAGTTTTAATAGATTTAATTGCGTTAGATTGATGTATTGACTAATAAAATCCTTTAAGTCATATTTAATATTAATTTTGGTTTTAAATTTTTAGACATAGCACTTAAAGAATACACAGCCATTAAACTCTAATACACACGCGCATAAAATTAGCTTATCAAAAATCAGAGTATATTTAAAATGAAATATGAGATATAAAATGCAATAATATAATTAAATAAATAAATAAAATTAGGAAAAAGGCAATGTGGAAACTCTCAAAAACTCAATCTAATATAATGAATCATTTTTTGAAATAATTTTAACACTTAATGTATTTAAAGCAATGGTTTGCATTCTTTATCATTAGTGGCTTTTAATGCTTTGAATGTTGAAATTATTCCCAGCGTTCAAAGAAACTTTTTCCTTAATATACAAATATACAAATAATAATCTGGGAAATTTTGTAGTAACATACATTTCAACAAAGTTTCAAATTAGCAGTTCTGTCTTTAGAAGATTTAATAGAGTCCTAAGAACATCATGAATGATTTATTTTTCAATTTCAAATTTATAGAAAATATAATTTATTTCGAAAAATAAATTGTACTCTTCCTTCCTCCGGAAATAAAAAAATTGGTAAAATATATAAAGAGCAAGTTTGTTGCACTATGTTCTTTTATGGAGTAAAAATGACCTTTTATTTTCTAAAATAGTTACTAGATGGCAGCACCAATTAAAAAGGGCTGTGTTATTTCTTTCCTGTTTTTCATTAATGTTAATTTCATTCAGATAAATTAATATTTTAATTAAGTTGCTTAAAGATTTAAAATAAATTATTTTTATACAATTAAAATATTTCAATGTTATTAGAGAAGAAAATATCTCTTTATAAAATTCTTCGATTTGTTTTATCTAAGAATTTAGTGTTATTACTAATTATGTACATTTTCACTTTTATATATTTGATATTTGGCGCGATAGCCCATAGAGAGCCAAGGCCGACTGTGCCCATCTCTGTTTTCTTGACCATGGGCTCTGGGGTACAGGAGCAGATGTTCCGGTCAGGTGGTCAGCCGAGCGCGGAACCCCCAGTGTTTCCCAAGCATGCTTGATACTCATTTATCGACCCACTGAAGGGATGAAAGGCTGAGTCAACCTTGCCCGGTCCGAGATCGAACACAGGACCTGTGGCACGGGAGCGCAAAGCACTACCACTCAGCCACAGGGCGTAAAGATTTTTAAAAAAAAATTATATTTATACAATTAGAACTATTTCAATGTTATTAAAGAAGAAAATATCTCTTAATAAAATTCTTCTATTTGTTTTATCTAAGAATTTAGTGTTATTACTTATTATGTACATTTTCCCTTTTATATATTTGATATTATTAATACTTTTCATAAAATATCTTCAATCTTAAGAGAATAATTTCATAGTATACATTAAATCAGTAGCATCAACAGAATCTTTGTTTCCCGAAGAAAATTTTTGTGCAATCTAGAATTTAACGATAAATATTTTTTTTCTTCCTGAAAATACATTTCTAAATATTTAAGAAATTAAGTATTTTAAAATACAAATGCTTAAAGTTTGGCAAAAGTATCTTTATCATAGCAATTTCATTTCATAAAACTCTTTAATAAAGTCAGCAATACATTCTTTAACAGACATATTTTACAGATAATAAGAGGTAAAAAAGGAGACCACGGTCTTATCTTTATCCCTTATCCTTATCACTTAAAGACGAAATCCCTATCTATACAACCTTATCAAAAAGACCTTGGTAATATTTACAGTATAGTAAACTGGATATTCTCTAATAACTGGCTTCAATATTAAATATCAAATTCTGTGTTGAGAGCGAAGTGGAATACANCTAATGAGAATTAGCAGCAATAATCAGAAAATCTTAAGCAAACAAAGTTTACAATAACTACAAATTTAATCATCAGACTTAATTAAATAAACAGACATTAGTATTGATAAATACAATCTAATTATAGATTAAAAATTACAAAACGTTTTTAAAAACAATGCATGCCTATCCATAACTAAAGAAAAAAATTAGATGTAGATAAAGAATATGTAACAAATTCTAAACAAAATAAGACATTATTATAAACATGAAACAAGAGTTAAAAATATTGACGCTTAAATTTTTATACATCAAAATTAAAGATAACTTGACCATTTTGAAACTTTTTTTATAGCATTTAATGCACTTAACTCGTAAAACCTATTGATACCCCGTATAAAGAAGACTACATAAATTAGGAATAAGTCTCGTAAAAGCGCTAAATAATTTTATTTATGTCAATAAACAACTAAAAATCTTGACGTCTTAAATTAACATAGGAAATGCCATTTAAATGGATCGTTCAACAGAATGTTTGGAACGGAGATTGGAAGGACGCGTCGTTTGACGTCATGAAATACGTCATCACTGTCCCTGTCTATAAGAAACAGCTTCAGGTTTCCTCTATCAATTAAACTGGTTTTGATATTTTCAGTTCGAGCTTCTTCATTAGATTTGAAAAGCATTTTTGTTCTTTAAAAAGTTCAAATATAGATTTGAAACTTCTAAAGTATATACTTTTTTCAACAAAATGTTTGCGAACTTTGTGTTCCAAATAAGACGGAAAATCATATTCAGTTCGTATCATATTTTACGAATGTATTATGTAATTCCCGAATGATATTTGTAAAGTAATTTAGTAGGTATTGCAGTGAGATTTTGCATTCAAGACGAACTGATTATTACTACGATGGTCAGTTAGACCTTAATCAGATAATAGAAACATGCACTTACTTTTCTTAGAAATAGTATTTTTTAAATAGTTTCCGAAATTAATAAAGATCATATAGATAAATTAAAACACAATAAACATATTTTAATGCAAGGAACTTTTCTTTCCCTCATATAATTATTAGGCATTGGAAGAATATACACTAGTATCATATTCTCATCACTCTAATTATTTTTATGTGTAATTACTGGAACACAATTTCAGAATAATATCCTTGATAAAACATTCTTTAGGTTTTTCGCATTTTGGTACTGTACAGGGCGCTAAATAATAAAGAATTCCTAACACTATGAATAAAGTTTAATTTGACAGTCAGATTCTTACGCAGTTAGACTCAATCTTAATTTTTCAAGGGCATAACGTTACTTTGGAATATGATAATTAATTAGGGTTAATGACATTTGAAGTTGGGAATATCAGACTGAAAAATGTACATTCTATGTACTTTTTCTTTTACATTGTCGAATTTGCTTTTTTGACCCTTCAAATTCAGGGATGGTTGCAATCTGGAAATTTTGACCCCGATAGTTTTGAATTTATTCGAGAGGATACAAAAGTCAGAACTCCTTAATGTTAATTTCAGTTTTTACGTATTTGACCATATCTTCAGAACTAATGAAGTGAATCAAAAAACATTTTTTCAAAATTAAAAAAACTTGTTTAGCTAAAGTTCGTTAAAAATTATTTTAAAAAAAATTAGCAATTGTAAAAATATAAATTAAGGATTATTTCTTATAAATATTTATTACTTTCTTTAATATTTATTTAACTAATACTCTGTATTAGAAATCGATTCACTTGCATTATGTCTTTTAACATTATTTTTTTTTCAAAAAACTCAATTTAGTCGAGTAAAAATTTTAAACGTAATAAATTTTTAAGCCAATTTAATCTATGTAATTTTAAATAACAAAATCTATATTTTCTACTGCTCCTCTGGCAAAACTGTTGGAATCATATTTCCCTACTTGCGGTATATTTTGAGGATAAAGGATAAATTGAAACAAAAAGTATATATTTACTAATTAATTTACTTAAGTGTATGCCTTCGAATGTTTGAGATTGAGTACTTGTATATGAAAATCTGATCATAAGTGACTCAGGCTGTATGCCTTTTTAATCTCACAGTACATAAATAACAAATTCATTTTATTTCATTTCTGTGTGGCTATGATTATGACATGTTTTAACAAAAGAAAATAAAGTCAATATTTCTTCCTTCTATTACATCAATTCCAGAATTATTTACATATTTATAGTTTGGAATTTTCAAACAATAGTAAATATTTCTTGTAGTAATTTTAAATACTACATTTATTTAATTAAAATGCCCTTATTCTATTAGTGAGGAAAGCAAGAAAACATTTTATAAAACACATCTGAAAACATATCTACACTATTTTAATCACAAATGCACACATTTGTTAACATTTGTAATTTTTAGAAGAATTTTATTGCTTTTGAATATTTTTAACAGATATTGTATTCAGAAGAAAGATTTCTGTGTTGCTTGACGATTTATACATAAATTTTTTTTTAACTATTATTGGGTACGCAATATTTTTTAAATAGTATAATAATTGTCTACTTGTGTGCAACATTGAATCAATATTTTGTAAATTGTTTTTTTGTAATAAAATGATTTTATTAGAAACCAAATTCATTAGTTTCAAAATGACATAACCAAGTAAATAATTTATAAGCGCAGGCCGTTTTTTATCTATCACTTGGCATGCATTTTAAAAAAACTTCACCAAAACTGAAAATAAGTTTTTAAAGTTCGCAAATCACAACACCTAAGCGATGAAAAATAAAATCGTTTTTGAAGAAATTGATTTATTAAAAGAACTTTGTATCTCAATCGAAATTTGAGGATATTTGTAAGAGACGTCTTCAACTTACAGTAAGTCTATTCCAGTAATCAGAGACTTTTGTTGTCTCGCTTGTTTTGTCCATGATACATCAGATTTTGAAACAGTTAATATATTTTTCGATGCCTTAATTCTATCGCGTATGCTTTTTGGCTAGAAATCTGAAATCATACATAATGAGAAGAGAAAATCTGGAATATATATATATGTATACCCACTAATCAAAATACTAGAAAAATAGGTGTTTCTTACTCAATAAATCATAGCGAAACAGAATTTTTTAGCATTAATAACGCTTAAAGCGATCAGTTTAGTAGAGTGCTAGATAGTTATAAAAATTTCCAAAGTAAATAATGCAGGTAAAAAGTACATGAAGGCTATAATATTATATTTTACTGACAGTCAATAAAATTTAAAGATAATTTATTCTAATTTATTCATTGAAATGTTTGTGAAAACCTTCATCCACTTTGCTCCACAATAATAAAGTTGAAAAATTGCTTTATTACTATAATTAATTATATTAATAATGAAATTATTAAGCAATTATTATAATATAAGTAATTGTTATATTATTATAAATTTTTAATAATTATAAACAATTTTAAGTTAATTTATTGTTAATAAAATTAGTCTGAGAAAGTAATTTTTTCAATAATAAAATTATTAATAATAAAAGAAGAAAAAGCTTCCATTAAAAAAAATGAACATATTTTATACAAAAATAAAGAATACTCACTTTGGGTTTGGTCCATCGCTCCTTACAAATCTTTTATCGCAACTTGTTTCCTATGGAAGATTAAAATGAAACTTTAAAAAAAAACGCATATATGTGCTTAGATATATTTTCATTTAACCATGATACTCCAATTCTTTGACTCATTATGAGCTCAACCATGAGCCAATTCTTTGACTCATCATGGTAAATGGGTAAAATTGAACCATTGAAAATATATCTAAACATTTTTTAAGACAAGTAAATGTGTTAAAGGAAGTACAAATAAATGAAAATTAGTTACAAGGATCAGCATTTGAAGGACAGCCTTTCTGAAGTCCTTTCTTAGAAGCTTTTCCTAATCTGCTCCCTGAAATTTACATTCAGCTCTTCACTTTGGAAAAGTCCTCAACCACACTTCCTGTCCATCTCTTTTGTACATCTCATTGTACATAGTTTCTTGATTTGGATATCCACACTTTGATTTTATAAATATTGAAATAATATATATATATATATATATATATATTTGATAAAGTACCTTCAAATTTTGCAACGTCTGTAGTATCTGTTACAGTTTCGCTCACATAACTGAAATAANTATATATAATAGAGAAAAACACATCAGAGATCGCTAAGATCATCTAAGGCCTAAGTCAAGACTGATTTTACGAATAACTTGATCTGCAAGATCTTCGTCCTTCCTTTTATTTTATACTGGGAGTGCAAATTAGTTCGGTACGTTTTTTTTGTGGTCAAAAATGTATTTATTTCAGATAAAAATGATTGAACAGATTACTCAAAGTATTATCCATCGCTGGCTTCTACATTTTACCTTCTGTCAGGCAATTTTCGAATTCCATCTCGAAAGAATTTCTTGTCTTTTGAGGCGATCCAAGTTAGTAGCCAATTTTTGATTTCTGCGAGAGAAGTGAACCGGTGACCTGCCAAATCATGCTGCATCCGTCGGAACAACCAGTAATCAGAAGGAGCAATGTCCGACGAATACGGCGACTGCAGTAAAATATCCCACTTGAGCGTTTCCAAATGATTTTATTACGACTTTTGCGACATCAGGCTGACCATTATAAGGCAGAGGAATGACTTTGTCATGTTTTTGCTCGTATTCCGGCAGTTTTTCTCGTAATGCACGACACGACTAAAACGAATCAATTGTAGCCTATACCGATTGCCTGCAATGGAATCGCCAGGTTGTAACAGCTCATAGTATACAACACCATTCACCATTCTTGAAACATCGAAACTATTCCCTACATGATTTATCAGTTGGAGCATTGTCACCATAAATTTTTATAAGCATTCGATGCACTCTTCTTGCAATTAAAGCAAAACCATAAAACCTCTCACAAATGCTGCTTAGTTACCACAAAATTTGACATATTCAACAAAGTAAAAAACAGGGTTTTTGTATGAAACTCAAAGCTATATAAACTGAATATTTTTGACAGATGTCTAACCTCTCTGAAACCACCGAAACCAGCTGTCACTATGACATTCATAACAGCCAGAGACATCTTTTGAAAACGGACAGAACTAATTTGTACTCCCAATATTTTATTACCGTCGTTGAAATGCCGACCCAATTTTGAGTTTACGACTACTATTGTTCAGCTCCACAGCCTTGTAATTTTGAGACCAATCCAGAAGACAAGAAAACTCCTGGATAAGTACCCCTAGAGGTTTGATTTGTTATGGGAACATGGAGGACTTTGTGACTCGACAGACTTCGTGACTCGACTTTGTGTAATGCAGTCCACAAACAAGGACTGAGAGTGCATACGATTGTGAAGAACTAAGGCATTACGCTTCGTATGACCCCACCGACCCAACTCATTACCCTTATCGCCATAATTGCAGACTTGATATCCTGGATATCATCCTTTCAAACATGCCACCTGCTTTCGCACTAAATGTTATTAACAATCTAAGCATCAACCATCTACCAGTGCTTATCAATAAAAATTTATACAGAAAGATGATATTATTAAGAAGAAAAGCACAGATTAGTTATTATACCACAACATTTTAATCATCAAATTAAAACAACCGACTCCCATCCACTCGAATGATGATATCGATAATACTAATAGCAATCTAAATAATATTCTAAGGTTAGCCATCCATGATGGTACGACCGAGAGAATTAAGAATCTTAACAACTTCAAACTGCCGTGCGCAATTTAGGAGAAAATAAGATTCAAGAACAAACTAAATTAAGATGTATAAAGGAAGAGCCAGTACTACTTATAGGACTGAAGTTAATAGACTAAACAGAATTATTAGAGATGAGTGCCAAAACTATAGAAATACACTCTGGAGCGAAAAAGTTGCCACACTGAATAAAGAGGATAACTCTTTGTGGAGGATGGTTTGGTTTGGTTGTTTGGGTTTTTGGAGCAAGAGCCAGTCTTGGCTATATCGCGCCTCCAACTAGGTAGATATTTTACAGCTAGGTTCACAATTCTGTTTTGGTTTAAAAACTAGATAGATGTATAAATGCCAATATCCTTAAGGTATGAGACAATGTTAGAGTGAGGATCATCTCCAATTAGTGAAATTTCAGGCCCCATTTAATATATCCTGTACACAGCAGATTTTCCAATTGATAACTCCAAAAATTATGAATTAGTAGTGCTTTATGCAGACGATACTGGAATCGTTACAAAATCCCTAATAGAGCAATTGAGTTCTTACAAAATAAGTTATTAATCGTGAAAAACTGGTGCTCCATATGGAGGATAAAGCTCCACCCAGACAAAAGCCAATACTTGATTATTAATAGCAAAATTAAATATGATGAAATTCCGGATATTAAGCTATACTATAACGTTAATATTTCTCTAATAAAACACATCAAATATTTTACTCTAAGTAGGAGCAAACACATTGATGATATTATAAAGAGAGTTAGAGGTGTGTTTTTCGCCCTCTATGCTATTCTAATTAAAAATTCCAAACTTCACCTCGATAATTGGAGAACTATTTATCTCCAGGCTTTTAGATCTATTTTGACTTATGCTTGCCCTGTACTAACGACACTCACTAATAATCTGAAGAAAAAACTTTCAAACTATGAAGGTAAACTGATACGAGCAATGATCGGGAAACCCACGGGCGAGCAGCAATAGTTCCCTCAAGAAATACCTTAGGATTGAGAACATTATATTTCTATACTAAACTCAATACTAAATTCTACAAAGATGCCTAAGACTGTAATACGTCAAATTTTAACAAACTTTTCAATATCGATAGTATAAGGAATAACACTAGTTTCAGTCCACTAACTGCCTTTTTAACACCAGACTGTCTGATATCCAAGTATTACAGATATATACACTTACTTCACCCCCTTTTTCACAACGTAACACACACAGAATTTGCATCAGATCTGTGACAGACCTGGTGAAGGAGCAACTCTTTCGTAGGGTTCGATCCAGGCGAGTCACAGCTCTGCTTAAATTTCAGAATAGTAAGCAACCCGGCACGAGCGGTAACTACGGAGGGCCGGGTCACTATGCTAACAGAGGAATACGAATTATGTAAATAATTTGTAAATAACTTTGTAAATAATTTCTATTACTTTTAATATTAATTTAATACAATTAGCTATGTTACTCAACTTATCTATTAAATATTGTGCTTGTCATTATGTGCTTTAAATTTTGTATAATTTCTTACTTGACAACGGAGTCTTCTCCTATTTTTCTCTACACATATTAATACTTGTTTCCAATTTATGACTAACTAATTTACGACAATATAGTTTCGATGAATCGGCAAGTGGCGCTTCGCTCCAAACGCCGAGATTTTATACATTTCCAGCATCACACAAAAGGAGCTCATGAAACACTGGAATTACTCTGTAAATTTAACCTGAAACTTCGAAGATAACACGTGTCTCTTTCTCTGCATTCTCCGTCACTATATCCTCAAATCAATATAAAACAATTGGTTAATCTATTCAAATCACCAAATCTGCATAAATGCACGATTTCAGCAACACATAAATAATAAAAAAAAAATATATAGAATCAACTTTAACTCCTGAGCATGCAGAGAAGGAAAACGAACCTTGAAGGTCGCCGCTCGCGAATTGACAAAACATACCGTAGATTATAAACTAGGCGATTGCAAGTGGAATTGGCGATGGATTACGCCTAAATGTGGTGGGAGAACGAAATTACATTAACCTAAACAGTGAAATTCGATATTTTTTTTCTCCTCCACGACTAGCCATGATGAATAAAAATAACTCATTAATTCATTTTAGTAGAGAATTAAAAAAGAAAATAACCTTTTTATTCTTAGGATCACGTTACAAATAAACTGTATTTATATTTTATTAAGCGCAATAATTTATATTTTATAAAATGAACTAGTTTTTTGATATAACAGATTCAATTTTTCAATTTTTTTTTACAAGAATTGTGTTTGTGAAGAAATAAAAATAATTTATTAATGAACCAATCACAAAAAATAACGTAACATTTTAATACTATGTTTTATTGAAACGCTATTTTGAAGAATTAATTCTATTTAACTTTTATTGTAAGAAAACATAACCTGTTTTATTTTAGTGATATTTTCTATGAAATCAATATTCTCTATAAAANAAAGAATAATGTAAACTTTTTTATGAACATTTTTTTTCGAAATTAACAAAGACATATCATTTATTAGAAAAAAAAATGGAGTATTCAAAAATGTTATCACGCTTGAAAGTAAAATTTTCTTGAGAATGAAAAAATCGATATTTATTTATATAAGTAATCGGAAATTCGCTAGTGAAAAAAGAAATATGTGAAATAATTTCAAGAAGGGAAAAATGTACAAATGAAAGGATTTTTCTTCGATGACCTATATCGCGTTTGTTTTATTACTAAAAGCATTTATTGTAAAAAAAATATTTATTAAATAACTTTTTTTTCAATGGGATGAGATCTTAAACTTCGTGAAAAATTTATTCAATTCCTTAATATATATAAAAGTCCGTAAATACTTCATTTATTATGGAGGTCATAGATACCGGTTGCCGGGAGAAAAGTGTTGCACCAAGCAGACTCCTCAATTCTGCTTTTAACATGTAAAGTCTATGGCGGGGAATCGATTTTTCTTGTTCAAGAATCGGAGTGATCAATTAAAAAAAAATACTAATACTTTTTTCAATCTTTCCTATCCACGAAAATGTAGGTTAATTTTTTTTATCTTTATTACTTTTTGTAATATTGCCTTTGAAACACAAGTCACTTTCTACCTTTGAGTAAGGGAGGAAGGCAACTTCCACCCCCAAGTTCACTAATCTTCTCGGTGGGAGGTCTTGCTCCCTTTTGAAAATCTTTTTCTCTCTCTGTCCTTCTGAAGAACTGATATGGGGAACGCTTTAAAAACCGATAGCTTTCTTTTTAGTTATAAGCTTGTAATTTATTATGAAAATTATATTTGCTGATAATTCGTTCATTCTATATACATTTTATTTATTTAGTAGTAATAATTTTCTTGTTTTTATTCATTTTGAGAATGGAATTTATTTTTTAAATACATTATTCCCCTTTTTTTAAACTNACAATTTTACAAGTTAGGTGAAAAGTAAATATCTACAATAGTGGTAGGGAATTAAGGAAATTCTAAATCTAAAGTTTGAGTCCTAGAACGTAAACATCTGATCATTAGATCAAAAGTTAGTTTTAGATTTTTCGTTTATTGCTCACTGTACACTAAAAGGTGATTTTTTTTTTCTTTTGAAATTTTGATTTTAATGCCCTTACTTCAACCTCCTTCGAGTTATGCTTACTTTATAAATTTAATCTCAACTTTATTTTTCTTTTCACTTTTAAACTGTAAAAGACTTTTTCTCCATTTGTAAATTATGAAAAAAGTTATTAATCTGATTGCGTAAACAGTTAATTTATTAAAATTGAACATTCTCAATTAATTCCTTTTAATAGTCATTTATATTATTAATAATAATTATTTGCACAAAATTATAATGAAGGAAAGTTTGATTAGAAATTCAAAAGTTTTTGCTGCTATAATTAGTGAATTTCTATCGACAAAATTCAAGTAATTTTTTTCTTCCGGAGCAAAATGCATTTTTATTTAAAAGGGAACAATACTGACTTAATATTTATACGATAAAATACTCTCTAATCGCTAACACCGATGACAGAAGAAATTTTTAATTTTTTTCTTTTTCACAAAAAGTTTAAAACTTAAATTGTTGCTGTAAAATGTAATACTCAATTGTTCAATGAATTTTACGATTATTATTATAAAACTGCGTATAATGATCATTTCAATTAAAATAATTAGTACAAAATAGCTGCTAAAAATTCTCTTAAACATTTATAAATTTCAGCTTTTCGCATTATTGCTAAATAATCTACGTCGAAAAATATTTAAAGAATTTCATATTAACAGAAAATTAAATAAAATTTAAAAAAAATTGTAAATGGTTATCGAGCAGAACCATTAAGTTTAATTAATGAATATAGAATTGGAAACTAAGTCTCTGCTAAACAATAAAAAAATTTTTTTTTTAATTTTTTAAGCAAACAAACTTTATTATAATAATCATTTCATTATTAAGGATTAAAGGTTATTGTGAAATTATTAATTCTAATTAGTGGATGAGTAGGAAAAGAATTTCACTACTCGAAATACAAAGTTATGAAACTATAGAATATGTAATAATGTGTAATTTTTCTATCTTAGTTCTATTGCGACCTTTTAAAAAACGCTAATAACCACAATTTAGTCAACAGATACAAACGATTATGTCGGCGCTATAACAAAAAAAAAAAGCTTTATATTTCATTTGATGCAGAAGATTCAAATGAAGACCCGCTTAATTGAAATGTCGCACCCATATCTAACTTGTTGAATGTTATGCGATACCGAAAACAAAGCAAAAACATAAGCACACAGCTGTTTGGCGATTTGCGAGAACGCTCCTTTAACGCCAATAGAAATTTTCGCCAACCCTTTGCAATCTACGGTATGTTCTGTCAATTCGCTTCCCGCTCACCAACTTCGAGCAACAACACAAATAAAATGTGAGCCTCCATCCAGACAGCCAGCTTAGTAAGACTCCCGGTCGCAGTTAAAAAAAACTAGGCGCAAGGCACAGTCACAAAAATGACACTATAAATTTAGGCGAATGCCAAAAAGTAAAAACTTGAGGGTATTGTGAGTATTATTGAGGGTATTACATCATCACAAATATACAAATAAAAAGTTAAAAGTTAAAATATAGATAAAGAACATTTTGATAACTGTTATTTTAAAATTGCGTTCAAATAGCATATTCTCTTCGATTTTTGATGAAATATTTAGCTGTGCCAAAAATGCAGTTACATACTCTTAAAATATCATAAATTAATGATTTTATAATATTCTTACTATTTCTAACCATAGAAATTTTAAAAGAACTGCGCAATTTTAAAAATTGTAAATAATTAAATTACAATTACTTAATTTTTAATTATTTAATAATCTGTAATAAAGTGAAACGTTTGTGTGAGCCTCTCTAATTTTTTATTTTGTAAGATAAAAGAAATACATGATTAACATGATCAACATAAGTAAAATTATCTCCATTAGGATAACGCGATGTAAAAATTAATTTAAAAAATTTCTCAAATCAACTTATTAAGTTGTGCATCTGTCTTAGTTAACCGGTGAGACAATACCGCATAAGTGGTCAACTTTCACAAGTTCAATAGTGAATACAAATCCGGATGAATGACTTGAATAATATTAATAACTAAATAGTTGAAATATGAATATTTAGATGATTATAATAAATATTTTATTAAAACATTTTCATTATATCCCTTATTACAAATTCACCCTAGTGTGCAGTCAGTTTATTTGAATTTTCGCTGTAATGTGAAGCTTCCGTTCTTTATCAAATACACAGTGGTATTTCAATAAAAATTTTGCTTTTGTTGCAATAACGTTCTTTTTTTTCGTCAATATACATCACTGCTACCTCACTTTTATTTATCAGCGCGATGTGCTTTGTCATTAAGAATGAATTGAATTGAACTTACTTCTTCTTCAGAAGATTCAGATGAGGAAATATAATCTGATGAATCGCTAGAATCGCGAAGGTTCTTTTTGTTTGATGGCAGCATCTTTTCCGTTTTCGAAATAGTAGCTTCAAAATCAAAATAGAGATTTTGAGACGAGGAATAATGAGTTTTCAACAGAAAGGTGAGTGCAACACGAGCATCGAACAGGTGAGGAATGAAAATTTTTGAAGAGCAGTGATAAATTTGTCAATGCGCAACTCGTTCCCGCTTTATTTGTACCTCGGCATTTCTCGTTGCTATGGAGACAAAGTTTTTCTTGCTTTTGCATTAAGTTTAGCAAGAAATACTTGTTGCTTCCAGAGGCCACAGATAGATCTTGCAACAGGAGACACTCATCAATGAGAGTTAATCTTCGAGACTAAGAAGGAAAGTGTATACAATTAAAAAGCTAATTTTTTAAGCGTAAATTTTTTTTGGATATGAAATTATATACACGAGCATTTTATCCATTTAAGTTTGACTGAAGACATAAAATTGTAATGAATCTCATAAATTTCTTCAAAAGTGAGACATTCTCCACAACTAAGGAAATCACTTTTAAGATACTTTAAAAAAATCACAATAATAAATTTTAAATGAATTTTTGTTAGATAAAAAAATATTTGTGAAATGCAAGAACTTGGGAATTCATAACTCAAAAAGATATAATTTTTACTGTAATTTTTTAATTAATTCGTTTAGTTTTTATCTCTAATGGCAAGTAATAAAATTTTAAAATTAAAAAAAAGATAAAATTATAAATGACCTTGTCATGATGAAATAAGCATAACATACTTCGCAGCATTTAAAAACTAATTTATCATCTTATTTAATCCCAGTCTCAGTAAATAATAATAATTAATATAATGATTAATCTTTTAATACCACAACTTTGAATAGAGTCCAGAATGAAATCTATTTTTAGAGATTTTCTCTACATCTGATTAACACATTAGAATGGAATTCGAAAACCGTTATATGGTTGCAAATGATTTGAATTCATTAAAATTTGCTGATATCTGTCACTTTTTTGCCCCGCCAACACATTTAAATGCGTAAGGCTAACAAAAAGAACTTTGGCTTTAAATAAAATCAATTAATAGCTAAATACATGGATTCCTTAACTTTCCTTGGCAAAAACTATACCATCGTATACGTGACACTCGTATTTTTAAATTTCTAGGTGGAGGGAGGTGTCCTGTGGAGCAGCCACAACCTCCGAGTCATTCTCTAAATTTTTTATACTTCATAATTTAAATGTACAGTAAAACAGAAGAATCCTGTTTACTTTGGAGCACCCTATTTAATAAATAAATCATTTTTAAAATTTGAAATAATTGCTTCTCTTCATCGCTGTAGGTAATGGAATAATTGAGCTAATGGCTAATAATAATTAACTACAATGATTCAAAAAATTTTATGTGTGAATCATCATCTTCAGGATAAATGTTCGATTAATGTTACCTCTTCACCAACTACATCAAACTAATAGTAATCATCAACATTTTCAACAAATTAAAATAAATTCCAAAGACATTTTATAGTTAAGACTGCTCTTTAAAAGGGACGAGATATTGAAAAACTCCCGTTCAAGATATTTTGAATAAATAATCATAATGATAAATATTAAACAAATTCTTGTTAGTTAAAAAAATTACACGTAAAATGCACGAATTATGGAACTAATTACTGAAAATGGTGGATCATTGAGTTCATCTGGCATAATGAATAAAAAATAATTAAGAACGTGCAATAAACTTCTTTTCTAACCATTAGCGAGAAAACATCACGGTTGCGATCTTTAAAATATTTGGTTAAAAAAAAAAGAATCTTCAGCAGTTTTATTTATTTCCTTGCAGTTTCACTTTAAAGTAGAATTTTTCAGTAATTTAAATTCTTAAATATTTTAACCTGAAGGATCTAATTGAAAAATTTAAATAATTATTAGGACCGAGAGCTAAAATTGCCCCTTCAATAAATTGCCCTAATTTCAGGACTCTAGCACAACCGGTTCTGGAATTGTCAGAGAGGCATGCACGCACACAGGCAGACAAACTTTTAATTTTGTTATTACAAATGAGAAATCATCTTCAAATAAAAGTACTTTACGCTAAAATTGCATGTCAGTATTTTTTTTTTTAGTGAATATTATTTATCTGAGGCTTTTTTTATTAGATGCTTCTCTGCCTTTCATGCTTATGACTGCACACTCGCTTGATACTTCAGCCATTATTTCTTTGTTACCATCGTAAACAAAGAAATTTTATCGGTTCTATAGCAGTGCTTTTTTATATTAAGATGGATGGAGAAAACGGCTTATTGTATAAAATAATGCATCACTCTTGTAGCCGCATTTGTGATTCAATATTTTAGGGTATTTTTCCGCAATATAATTTATCTTCATTACGTTACTCAAGATTTATTTGTACTAGATTTAGCGCTGAATCATTTATTAAATTGCCAAATTTTTTATTTAGTTCCTATATTTTTAGAATTTATACATTAGATATATAAATTATCAGTGACACAAGATACTTGAAGATTGCTTTTCTATTTTGAACTATCATATAAAAATAAATTACTTTAGAGCGTGAATATTAATGTTACACCAATGCTTGTTGAAATACAATGAATTCCATAAGATCTTTAGTAAGCCCAGCTATATGAGTTTATCCTTAATTCTTTGTATTGAACTCCTTTTTATTCTAACTGATCTACGTTGCTTCATATATTTTTGATACCTTTCTCATGGTTTTGAAATCTGTATTCTGAATTCCGACTTTGCATCTTTATTCTGAAGAATTCGAAATACCCTAGCGAGAAAAGTTAGAGCCACAAGTAAACAAATCAGTTTTCAATTTATTTTTTATCGGTTCTAGAGTTTCAGTTACTTTTACACTTCATGTTTTGATCAATTGTTTTCAGCAATGTTTTTTTTCACTCTCTTATGAAAATATTTGGAAGAATGATTCATTCTCTAAAGCTTAGGCAGATTCTATAGAAGCAGCGATTAAATATAAAGTTAGAAAATTTTTTATCGAAGGAAAGACGTGATCTGGAACATTATTTTTTGATGCAAATCTTTTAAACGTTTTAAAACATTTTATGCATCGTAGTTTTTAGGTACCCAAAACAAAAATATATCACAGTTACAATAAAATACATAAACAAATAATAAATCTAAGTTGAGTAAGAGACGTAGAAGAGACAAAATTATATTTCAATAAATCCGATGTGCGATACGGCACTTTTTTTAAAATTTAGTAACACGTTCTAACCTATGTGGAGAAATTTAGTTCAACAATAACATGCTATTCAGCTTATAAGCGATCAGCTAGCACTGACGTCATAGATTACATGTGCTGGTTGTGATCTTCTTCTTGACATACAAGTACTCAATTCAAATAGAGAATGGTTATTGAGGCTCTTTATTATTTTTTTATTTATTTCTAATTCACTATAAATGTTAAGATTTATATCTGGAAATCCATAATCTCTTTTGTTGCATTTTATTGACATCTATTCGAGCTCGTATTTATAATATAAAGAAATCGTTAGGGGAACAAAATTCTACAACTATGGATAAATAGTCAATATTTAAAGCATAAAAGTTGAGAAAAAAAATCTCTTAAATTTGCTATAACTTTCACACAAAGGAGAATTTCTAAAAATGATTTCGGTAAAATTTCAATACAAAATGGTCCAATCAGTACATTAAATTTTGTAGTTTTAAAGGAATTTTCTTTTAACGGACAGTGGAACGACTAACATGTTTTTTTTTGCTACAAGTTTAACAGTTAATAATTCTTGAACTAACAATCGAATCATACTTTTATTTATTCCAACGAACTCCTTGTACACTTTTCTACATACCAACGTAATTTAAAGTTTCTATGTCGTACAGATTTTGACCAGGGTAGCAATATGTTGTGCAAAGCAAATAAAAGGTGGATGAAAATTTGTAAGAAAACGCATTTAAAGGTGCAATAACTTTCAAGCAAATTAGAATTAAAAAAAAGAAGAAAAACAAAAAAAAAAACAAAAAAACTCTATGTTAAGTTTATAGACAAACAGCTTTCAACTCTTTAGTTGTATTCATGCTGCATATAGAGCGGCATGAATAGAATTCTTTCTAAAAATTTTAACAGTTAATAATTTTCAAACAAATTATCAAGAGTTGCTTTTCTTCATCGTAATTCCTGAACATATTTCTACACGTTTCATAGTAATTTCACGTTTCTAAACCTTAAAGTGTTTGTCCAGCAAAATGTAATAGCAAGTTGAACAACCACGTCCACCTTTACTATTTTTTAATATAAATTTTTTTTTAATTGAGGAAATATAATCCAAAACTGTTTAATTTGCTGTAAAAGTTTCCGATGTATGGCTATATATGTAAAATATTAAAATTAACATTTCGATCAAATATTTGACTATTATTCTGGATATAAGCTGACGAGCATCCCGAGAAAGCTGGTAGCAAAATATCTAAAGGACCATTTGAAAATTTACCAATTACTTAGAAAAAGAGATTTATGTTAGTTGCAGTCAGTTCTGTTCTCTACTAGGGTGTTCTCTACTAGGGGTTACTAGGGTATGGTCATAATTAAGCTCAGAATAAGAATAAAGCAGCATTTACTATTTCAAGAAAGACTTAAAATTCATAACAGGATAGAAAAAAAAGAGATATTAAGATTGTTGCGTATTAACTGAGAAGTAGAATTATAGTAATTAAAGAAAACAAGAAAGAAATTAAAAGTAGGGGAGAGTGGGGTCAAAACACTTCCCTAGTTTCCCTTGTTAGTAATTTCACGTTTCTAAACCTTAAAGTGTTTGCCCAGCAAAATGTGACAGCAAGTTGAACAAACACGTCCACCTTTACTATTTTTTAATATCAATTTTTTTTAATTGAGGAAATATAATCCAAAACTGTTTAATTTGCTGTAAAAGTTTCCGATGTATGGCAATTTATGTAAAATATTAAAATTAACATTTTGATCAAATATTTTACTATTATTCTGGATATAAGCTGACGAGCATCCCGAGAAAGCTGGTAGCTAAATATCTAAAGGACCATTTGAAAATTACCAATTACTTAAAAAAAGAGATTTATGTTAGTAGCAGTCAGTTCTGTTCTCTACTAGGGTGTTTTTGCTTTTAAGATATTAAATTTGA